GCCAGGCAGCTCTCCAGCCACTCCTCCCCAAGCCTGTAGCATTGCACGGGGCTGTTGTGACCCAAGTGCAGGACCCAGCACTGAGCCTTGTTGAATCTCATACAATTGGCCCCAGCCCATCGATCCAGCCTGTCCAGATCCCTCTGTAGAGCCTTTCTGCCCTCAAGTAGATCAACATTCCCAGCCAACTTGGTGTCATCTGCAAACTTCCTGAGGGTGCAGTCAATCCCCTCATCCAGATCATTGATAAAGATAATAAACAGAACTGGCCCCAATTCTGAGCCCTAGGCAACACCACTTGTGACCAGCTGCCAACTGGATTTAGCTCCATTCACCGCAGCTCTTTGGGCCTGGCCATCCAGCCAGTTTTTTACCCAGCAAAGAGTATGCCCATCCAAACCATGAGCAGCCAGTTTCTGCAGGAGAATACTGGGAGAAAATGGTGTCAAAGGCTTTACTAAAGTCCAGGAAGACAACATCCACAGCCTTTCCCTCATCCGCTAAGCAGGTTACCTTGTCATAGAAGGAGATCAGGTTGGTCAAGCAGGACCTGCTTTTCAAAAACCCATGCTGACTGGGCCTGATCCCTTGGTTGTCCTGTATGTGCCGCATGATGGCACTCAAGATGATCTGCTCCATGACCTTCCCCAGCACTGAGGTCAGGCTGACAGGCCTGTAGTTTCCCGGATCCTCCTTCTGGCCCTTCTTGTAGATGGGCGTCACATTTGTTAACCTCCAGTCAACTGGAATGTCGCCGGTTAGCCAGGACTGCTGACAGACAATGGAAAGTGGCTTGGTGAGCACTTCTGCAGCTCCCTCAGTACCCTTGGGTGGATTGCATCCGGCTCCATAGACTTGTGTGTGTCTAAGTGGTGTAGCAGGTCGCTAACAATTTCCTCTTGGATTATGGGGGCTTCATTCTGCTCTCCGTCCTTGTCTTTCAGCTCAGGGGGCTGGGTACCTTGAGAACAACTGGTTTTACTATTAAAGACTGAGGCAAAGAAGGCATTAATTACCTCAGCCTTTTCCTCATCCTTTGTCACTATGTTTCCCCCCCACATCCAATAAAGGATGGATATTCTCCTTAGCTCTCCTTTTGTTGTTAGTGTATTTATAGAAACACTTTTTATTGTCTTTTACGGCAGTAGCCAGATTAAGTTCTAGTTCGTCTTTGGCCCTTCTAATTTTCTTTCTGCATAACCTCACGACATCTTTGTAGTCCTCCTGAGTTGCCTGCCTCTTCTTCCAAAGGTTATAAACTCTTCTTTTTTTCCTGAGTTGCAGCCAAAGTTCTCTGTTCAGCCAGGCTGGTCGTCTTCCCCGCCAGCTCATCTTTTGGCACATGGGGACGGCCTGCTCCTGCACCTTTAAGACTTCCTTCTTGAAGAAAGTCCAGCCTTCCTGGACTCCTTTGCCCTTCAGGACTGCCTCCCAAGGGTCAACCAGTTTCCTAAACAGGCCAAAGTCTTCCCTCCAGAAGTCCGAAGTAGCAGTTCTGCTGGCCCCTCTCCTTACTTCTTCAAGAATCAAAAAAGCCATAATTTCGTGATCACTATGCTCAAGATGGCCTCCAGCCATCACATCACCTGATCTAACTTTTGCATTTTTGCTGAAGTACCAAAAGCTGATAGAAGATGATACAGTGCACGGCTTTTTTCTTAAGATGTCAGGTCAAGAGAAATGTTCATTTTGAGCATTATTCTTCAAGAAGGAGCTGGATCAAATAGAAAATGTCCAGAAGGGAACAAGAATAAACAGGTATCTAGAAAATTAGTTCATCTTAAAAAAAAAAAAAAGGTGACAGAGAGATATAGTATTATGTTGAATTTTGCTGAAAAGAGGACAGAGATTATCTCTTCTCTTTATCTTTGAAAGAAAGAACAAGAAAAAGATGAACATTTAGTAAGGAGATTTAAGTTAGACACTAGGAAAAGCTTATTAGCAGTATGGATAGATAAGTATTAGAATAGATTGCCTAGGGAGGAAGTGAGATCTCCACTGCTGGATTCGTTTAAGAATAAATTAGACAAACATCTTTTTATAATTAGTTAAGCAGAGTTGATCCTACCATGCACAAGCGATGGCCCCTCAAGGTCCATTCCAGCCTTATTTTTATGATTCTACATTCCTAATTCTTCAACTAGTGCTGTGTCTGGCACTCCTTCACTTGTCATAAGCAAAGGATTCTTGCTGATCCCACAGTTCCTGTCCACAAAGTTTTACCACTTCAGAACTCTTCATCACAGGACCTCACAAATCTATAGATTCTTTCACAGCATTTTGGAAATATTGAGCTAAACCTTAGGATTTTATCCTACAAATGATGAACTTGAAATTCAGTAAAATCTGGTGGTTCATCAAGTATGCTGCAGAGCCAAGAGTTTGCTCTCCAGCTTCTGACTTTGTACTGTAATTAGTACAAAATTGCTGTTCTCCTGGGTATCAGTATGACGTTCCATATAGCACAAGAAGTAATTTCTGATGTGCTGATGCACTTGGTTTGCATCACAACTTACAAACTGCGAGTACCGGGTTATACTGTGAGCATCATCCACTTCATAACTGCACAGAGAGTAGCGAAAAAGCTGAGAAACCAGAGGCAAAATAGGGGAGGCTGTAATCAAGTCATCAGTGAAGGAATACTTGGAAGGTCTCCTTTATGCTAATGACATTGCTAGAGGCTGCATTTTGGGATAGTGATGGAAGGGGAGGAATACCGGAGTATACTGTCTGTTCTCAGGGTTGTTTTTTTCATTTTATCCAATTATTCTTACCTGAGGAATAGACAAAAGTGGAATAACAGTATTACCATGCTACATCATGAAGTTCATGATGTCAGCTTACTTTTCTTCTAGGTTGTTTGCACTCCACATCCTCTACATCAAGTAGGAGGGCTGGAGGCTTGCATGTGGTCTGTTGCTTAAGGAACCGTGCTGAAACATGAAGAAATGGATTCGAATCCACCCATCAAACCAAGGCAGGCCTACAACTCACCTTCCAGGAACCTGACCACATTTTATTAAGTCAATGAAGACAGCAAGGCACACTGAATTCTTCCATACAGGTACTCGCCTCACCATTAATGTTAAAAGAGAATCTAACTGCTGCAATTCTGAATTACTGAATATGATCCTGTTCTAGAGCCACGTCAGCATCTGCTGCTAGGGGATATGTAATAGAAGCATCGAAGTCTACCTGTTCTTAGCATGATATTTAGGGAGAGAGTGCACCCTCTTTAGTCAGAGTTAGAAATGAATCCTCTGGTGAGAGTCAGTAATTTAAAGAGACTGTAGGCCATGGTGTGTGAAACAATGCCTAAGAACAGAACTAAAAACAAATTTAGGGACATTGTCAACACTAATAAACAAGTATGTCTCATTGGTCAACTCAGGTACAGCTAGAAGCCCCATGGGCTGATTGCAAAGCCCTTAAAAACTATTCTAAAGAAACTAACCCCCTTTGTTACTTGCAACAGCTCTGTGGGTGAGTACCTAGAGCTCAGGATGTTGTACTTATGGCGTCATAGATGCAGCACAGACCTGGATGCAAATATTATTTATGTTACCCTGTGTCCTGGTTTCAGTTGGGATAGAGTTATTTTTCTTCTTAGTAGCTGGTAGAGTGCTGTGTTTTGGATTTAGGATGAGAATAAAGTTGATAACACACTGATGTTTTGGTTCTTGCTGAGCAGAGTTTAACTAGTCAAGGACTTTTCAGCTTCCCATGCTCTGCCAGGTGCATAAGAAGCTGGGAGGGAGCATAGCTAGGACAGCTGACCCAGACTGGCCAAAGGGCTATTCCATACCATATGACATCATGCTCAGTATATAAGCTGGGGGAAGAAG